AGTCACCCGTTGGGGGAGATGGGCGGCATACAAGTTAAATAAATAAATAAATAAATAAATAAATAGCATTTTTTAATTGCAACCCTAATCTATAATCTATCGATTCTGAGTACCACTAGTGAATCCAATATACTCCATAAGGATGCTGCTGATAGGATTGATGTGAATGGCACGCCATGGCATTTCTAACAGAATACCAAGTTCACAATTATCATTTTCCAAGCTAAGATGCTTCTTTAGTCTTTGGACTGTAGCGTATAATTCTAGCCGTTGAAATTATTCTAGAATCTTTATGGAGGCCTTTTTTTTGAAGTGGGAAAATTGCATCTTTCAAAATTATGCAGGATTGAGGGAATTTTTTGTTTTGTGGGGTAAAAGATAAGATCAAGTTTCATCGACAGCCCCTCATGTGGCTTAAAGCCTGCATGTACGTAGTTTACTATAACAGCAGACTTTTTTGCCAGTAATTTCCGTTTTTACGCTCTTTGGGCTTCTTTTTAGAATTGTACTTTGGAGTTTAAATTGTTAGTTTTCTCTGTATCTGTCTCTTCCAGTTGTCTTAAGAATTTTATGTTCTTAAAGCAGTTTGATTATTCTTGGCTATTTTGTTGTTGTCGTTGTTGTTGGAAACATGATTGGTTCAAAACGATGGTTCCATCCATGTTTTGCTTAAAATTATGGCTTTTTTCTCTAAAATAAACAAACTAGATTCTCCAGTTTACTTAATACGCTGAAGTAGGGAAAGGAAATCTATAGTTTGTGCGCTGCTTATAGTCTCCAGGCTTCTCCAACTTTGCAGTACATATTGAAATTTGGTAACGAACTCCTAAATAATGGTAGTGCAGTATTCAGCCAATAAATTAAAATGGGATTGGCACAGTTATTTAGTTTAACTCCCACCTTGCAACATGTTAGCCATGGCAACCAAAAATACTTTAAAAGTGTACAGTACTCAGCTGCCTACCAGTGTCTGAAACTGGCTGTTGTTGGCCAGACATACCAGCTCATGTGATTTGAGTAAAGCATGCTCTGCTTTAACTCATGTTCATATTAAGGCTTAGTGCAACGTACAAGCTAGTTTATAGTTCAGTCTGAGCAGGGCCACAAAGATCAATGCAGTAATCTTAATACCTCACGTTTAAACTTGAGGTATTTCCGTCTTTCTCTTATGTAGTGAATATGAAATAAATAACAGTCCTTGGTCCAGAAAGAACATGCAGACTAAAATAGTGGGTTGCCAGTATCTTGGAAACAGGATGAAAATCCAGGATCAAAAGTGTTGATCTAATTATCAGTTACTTGCTGTAAGTGTAATCTGCTATAGGAGAAATATGTAAAGTAATATTATAGGTTATACGCCAGGTGAAATTATATTGATCTCAGCAGAGTTGAGAGAGTATTGAAATGCATGATCAACGTTTTAATGGAACACTTTTTTTTTTTTTGCATAGAGAATGAACTGTGGTAGTGCTCAGTAGATGGTGCTGAGTAAGATATAAAAGTATTTTCTTTAGCCAAAGATTGCATCCATTTTTTAGAAAATACACCCCTTTATTTTTGGATAGAATTTATACTGCTGCCAGAAGTGATAATAGTGATGAACATGGTCTCTGTAGTTCCCTTAGCAATACCTTCAAACAAACAAATTCTCTAATAAATATTTTGCAGTTAATTATATATTAAAACCAAAATAGAATTATTTATATATAAGGCTGAGCATTAAAAATTGCTTCCATTGGCCCATCCACTGAATTAACAGAAATTGTATGTCTAAGTCAAGTGATATAAAAATGTTTTCAGATTTCATTAAGTTTTTTTTTCTATTTTTTAAATTGGTCTCCTTTTAAGTTGCAGGAAGCTTTGCAATGTAAAACCATATAAAATTAGATTTTTCAATAATCTTTCTGTACTTAGAAGACCAGAACCTAAAGGGTTCTTACCATTAATTTCAAATTATTTTTCTGCATTTGACCAGTTTAATCATATAATTAGTGAAGTTAATAACAGTTGTAATTTATCAAATTGTTCCTGGAAGTACAACAGCCTCTTGCCAGGGTTTTGGAACATAAGTCTTGTTTCATCGTCGTAATGGTGCTTACTTCATGCTGTCATGCACATAAAAGCAGCATGGAATGTTATCATTTAACTTCAGAAGAGTAACTGAATCATCTATTCAAAAGATGTTAAAATTTTATATGGAGGACAACGTAAGGAATGGTCTCAGAAATCTAATGATTAAGCCTGTTTTGATACAAGCATATATTTAAAATCTTCAAGTTAAGTCCATTGTGAAAGCCTTCTAAGATTTTAAACACTGGAAATGCTAACTGTTTTCTACTCAGTAAAATTAAATTACTGTTTATTGGGGAAAACTGATTGATTTGATTTTACTTAATCAGACTGTAGAGGATGAACCATCAGCTACTGGAAAACAAAACCAGTGGCACAACAGGCCCATTTCAGAATGGACCACACAACAGGTCTGCCACTGGCTAATGGGAATGAACATGGACCAATATATCTCAGAATTCACAACCAGGAATGTGGATGGGCAACAGTTAATGCTGCTTGACAGTGAGAAGTTGAAGGTAAGCACATGTTTCCGTGTAAATCCATATTCTGGTTAAGATAGGAGTATAAATTATAATGGGGCAGGATTTTTACTAATGCTGGGTAGAACAGTGCATTTAAAACCTGTGGACTTTTTACTTGCAGAAAAGTGCAATACTATTGAAATCCTTCCTTCCTCCCTCCCTCCCTCCCCCCCCCCCCCCCCCCCCCCTCTTTGTTCTTTTTTTTTTTTTTTTTTTTTTTTTTTT